CCCCGGCAGACACTGCCTTTCCCCCCAAGTACCTGCTCAGGCTGCCTCAGGGTGAGGCCTGCCCCCCACCTCCCACCGCCCAGGATCCCAGACGAGGCCAGGACCCGCTCTGCAGGAGAAGGTGGCCGGAGGAACAGCCCTCCGTTGTTGGGCCAGGGCTGGGGACCCGCCTGCCGCCCTGCCCAGCCACAGGCTTGGCCTCCGGTGGAGCAGACATCTTCGAGGAGGATCCCGGCTGGTCCAGGCACTGGGGCAGGAGAAAGGGGGTGCAGGGAGAGGAGAAGCCAGACTTGGATGCCGACACCCCAGCAGCAGGGCCATCCCCTGGCTCATCCTCCGGTGTCTCCAGGGAGACGACCTCCTTCCTGCCCACCCCAGCGTGTGCCACCCAGAAGAGTGGGACCTCTGAGCCCCGACACCTCTGCGTGGGTAGCACTTCAGTGGGGGCCAGGCCCTCTGGGGGTGTCCTGAGTCCCTGTGCCCTCGGCAGGGAGTTGGGCGGACCTCCGGAGAATGCCCCGGAAAACCCCCCCTCAGGGCCTCTGGCCGGGCTCAGTTCCTGCTGCTGCTTCCTCACGGCCCCCGCGTCCCCGGGCTGGCCCCAGCTGGCCTCGTGTACCCACTCAGAAACCCTGCGGAGCACCAGGGCCCAGGGCCCCTTCCCATCCTTGAGGGCTGAGCCCCGACTCACGTGGTGTTGCCTGAGCCGAAGCCTGCCTCTGCCCACAGAGCAGAAGGAAACGACCGCCTCTGTCTACTTGGCTCTGCACTTCCTCGGTGGCAGCACCCGGGACGAGGGTCCAGATGCCCGGCCCCTGAGCAGGGCGGTGGTGGGAGGACGGACGAGGACGGCCCTGGGAGAAGGAGGGCAGGTGCGGACGGCAAAGGTAACACCCCCCCACCCCTTTGCCCAGGGCCCTGGGGCTGGGGGAGCGTGCTTGGCAGGCGGCACTTGTAGTGAAGGAGAGGGAGCGGGAAGCCGGCCTTGTAACACCTGCCGTCTGCTCCCAGAGGAGGCTGAGCTGTCACATACGGGGCAAGATAGGACAGGGCTGAATGTGCAACACAAAAGAAAACAGACTCATGCAAACAGAAATGTCAAGGGAAAGAATTACTGCACCCAGGACCCTGGATGAGATACTTTTCATCACTAGACCTTAAATTTTACTCTGAGCTTCCTGGTAACAGCAGCAAAAAGTGAAATGAAACCCTGCCGAGGAGAGAGTTCTCTGGGTAACCTAAGATTATAAACCAGAAACTCTTACCGAGAGATAGATTCCAGGTGAAACCCCATCTCTTAAAAGGAAAGAGTTGTTGGGGTGCCTGGCTGGTTCAGGCGGTAGAGCATGTGACTCTCGATCTTGGGGCTGTGAGTTTAAGCCCCACATTGGATGTAGAGATTACTTAAAAAAAAATAGAGTTACCGTACTGGGGACTGAGGAAACAGTTACTATGATCAGATTCAACTTGCGTCTGAGTTTCCTGGGAGCAGTGGCCAAAAGGGAAGGGGGCCGAGTGCTGCAGAGTGTCCACCTGTTACCTAAGTGGTAGGTGTGTGGTCCCAACTTAAGAGCGCATCCGTATGTCTGGGTTATGTCCTGCTCTGAGATATCTTGGGCCATGGCAGCCGGAGAGTATCCTGAAGCCTCGGTTCTGGTGTAGCCGTGCGGAACAGTGCCTGGACTCCAGAGCCCCACAGGCTGCTCTTGATCCCGAGAATGGCGATTAATAAAGAATGTGCTGGGTCCAAGACCCAGTTTGGCCTGCCTTCCTCCGCCAGGCAATTAGGCACGGGATGCAGGGGTTCCTAGAGAGATGGATGGAGTTGGGGGTGGGGGCAGGGCTGGCCACGGTGTCGCCTGGGCCCCCAGTTAGCACTGTAGGGCTCTCAGCAGTATGATGCCAACGTGCCGGGTATTTTCAGCTCTTCTGCCCAGTGGCCTCAGGGATGGTGTCCCAGGAGCGGGTGTCTGAGCCTGAATGGAAGAAAGGACCGCCTTGGAGGAAGGCAAAGCTGTTTCGGGGGAGTGGCAAACAGAAGAGGCTGAGCGTCCGCTCCAGAAGGTAGGGTGTGTGACCCACTGTCCGTCTCACACGTGCCCAGCGTATCTGGAACTACAAGGGGCGGTTCCACTAACTCCCGGGAAGACCTTCGCGGGGTTCCAGAGCTGTCCGTGTGCTCCAGAGGAAGGGCTTGTGTGTGGGAGTGAGGGTCTGGAGGTCCGTGGGTAAAGGAATCAGTTGGTTCTCCATCAGCCCATCTGCACAGTCCCCCTACCCCCGATCGGATCGTGTGTTTCTTTGGAGGGCCAAACATTCCAAGGCCAGGAGTCCAATAAATATTTGAAATAACTGAGTTGAAAACACATCCACTGGCTTAAGTCCTGAGGAGAGAGTGCATTAATTATTTACAGCTTTTATTGCTTTTTTTATTTATGCAAGCGGTGCGTGTCCTTTGCAGAAAAATTGGGAAATACAGACGAGCAAAGAGGAGATGATAAAGCATCCTAGTCCTCGTGCTCGGGGTAACGCCACCAGTGCGTGGGGCGCTCCCTTCCAGACTTTTCCCTGTGATGTGTGTGCACACACAGCATCTCCTGACAGCAAATGGGACGCACAGGTTTTTACTAATACACTCTTTCATCACACCGTTCTTTGACGGTCTCGCCCCTTTGCTCCAAACCCTCTAACCACTGTGGACAAGGGGGAAAGGCCCCTCTTTAGCCAGGCCCCAGCCCCTCCGTGCCACCCGAGAAGCTGTTGTCTGATTTTTCCCATGGCCTCCTGTCCTGCTCACGGTGACTTTGAGCCTCCTCCCCCTCTCCCATTCTCAAATTCACACTCTGAACCCAGGTCCCGGCTGCTTTCCCAAATCCCCCGCCACGTCTTGGCCCCCTATTCTCCCCTCCCTGGAAGGCTCCCACCTTCTGCCCCCATTGTCAGTATTTGACCCAAACCCGAGACACTCTTCAAGAGGCCGGGCAGGGTCCGAATTCTTCCCTGCAGCTGCTCAGAACCTCGGCGGCTGGAGAAGACATGTCCTCTGGACGTGCCTGGAGAGGGGGCCCCGGCTCAGCTGTCTGCCAGGCCCGCGTGTCCAGGGCTGACACGGCTAAGGGCTTGCTGTGCCCCGGGTGCCATGTAATGACCCCGCCCCATTTTCCTCCCGAGGAGCCCGAGACGCAGACAGATCAGGTGGCCAGATGTGGCCTCACGGACCCAGATGTGAATCAGCAAGTCTTCCCCCAGAGCCTGGTTGCTCCGCGCTCCACAGCCCGCGGTGGGCCTGACAGTCACCTGGAGTTTTCTGGGTTTTCTTGTGATGCTGAGTCACAGTCCTCCGGTCTGGGGCCTGAGCTGGCGTTTCCCACGGGCTCCCAGGTGATGCTAAGGGTGCCGGCCCAGGGAGCACTCTTGGAGGAGCCATGCTAGTGTTGCCCCAAGCCACGTTTCAGCCCACCTGTCCGTTGCCAAACGAAAGAAGGATTGCTCTGTGTCACGGGGACATCCGGCCCTACCCCGCACCCCTGAACCGTGCAGAGTGGGGGAGGGATGGCTCCCTCGGGGAATATTTGGGTGCCCTTTTCAGACCGAATGAACGCTAGCCAGACTGAAGAGTAGCTGCCCGTGGATTCTGGGAGCACAGGGACACTGGCATGTGGCCTCGTCCCTCCAGCGGGATCTCCCACGTTGGACTGACCTGGAAGGAGCGCTAGGTTACAGGGAGTGACAGCCGCCAAGCTGTTTCTGGGTGTCAGTCACGGCCCGGGAGTTGTGGGGAGTGTGCGTGCCTGCTAGCCACTCCCACCTCCCGGGACCGCACCCAGTGCGACAGCTCAGCACCGCGTACCTGCCAGGTGCCGGGTGCCGCAGGTGGAGGCTGTGCAGGAACCCTTCCCAGCGCGGCTGCTGGTGCCAGGCCCACGCCCTGGGAGGCCCGGAGAGGTGTGCCAGCACCTCCTGGGCCGCACATGGCCTGTGTGGGAATCTTGTTAGGCCTGACCGTATCTGAAAGTCTTGGCTCTTAGTAGCCAGATAAATACCAGGAGAGTTCACAGAAAAATCTGGATTTCCAGCTTGTCTTGAAACATCTGAAGCCCTGGGGATGCCAGGCCCGCCTTCTTGCATGGCAACAGCTGGCGGGAGCTGAGAGTGACCACCTCATGGGCAGCGCCCGTGCTCCCCAGCTTGCTCAGGCCCCATCTCTCCCTGTCGTGTGACGTTCGAGTTTGCAAACCTTGGTCTTAACGTGCGGCCTGG